TGCTTAGTAATTTCATCCTCAAAGCACAAAGGAAAAAGTTTCCTCTTCAGGCTACTCTGGGATGCCTTTATTCAACTGACTCTGCTGCCTGCTACTCTGAGCAGCCTCTTCCCTGCTACCCTTCAGTGTCACTCTTCTGCTTCTTCTCATCTTCCCACAGATACTCCAGCCCGTCTGCCATCACCTCTCCAGTCTGGCTTTTCTGTCGCGCTGCTAACTTGACTTTCTGAGCCTCCTGAAGTTCTGCACTTTGACCTGTTTTGACCTGACAACTCGCCACGGCCTTGCTCTGCAGGCCCTGAACTGTGAAGACCTTTAGATAAAGTGGAATACTGGTCACTTACAACTTCTGGCAGTTTCCTCCATTCTTTGTCTTTCAAATACTGGGAGCAATCCAAGGCACACTGAAAACAACAAAAAAAGTATGCAATCAGTTTTGGAAACATTCTCTGTGTCTACAAATTATACATTTGTTCTAAAGACAATAGTGTATAATTTTTTTTCAGTGTAGAAAATAAATCACATTACATGAGCTGATATGATTTGTGATAGCTGCAAGGAACTATTTATAATTGTAACTGTAACAATCCTCTAATCAAAATAATCCTCTTCAACAATATTCAAATTTCAGACATTCCATAGAATTCTCATTGAATTTTTAGAAGACATTGTCTGAAATCTTTAAATGGTATACAGTACTGTAACAAGAAAATCGGAGGCAATAAACCTTCAATTAAATCTTCTTAAGGAATATCTTTCAAGAAATTAAAAAAATAATGTTTTGCAAAATATTTAGTGTACTGAATACACATCAATAGAGATGTGCTGATTGCACTGCACTGTTGTCCCATCCAGGGTGTATCCTGACTGCACAGGATTAAGGAGTTAGATGGCAGGAATGTCATGATATGCATAAATTCTACCATTCATCATTAAGACAATGACGTAATGAATGATCACTGCTGGGACAGTTAAACATGGTTTTAATGCCCCTTCCATGAACTATTTCTCATCTATGAAACACAATAAAACTCTGGAGAGA